CTGTAGTATGCTTCCTAAAGCTATTTTACCCCAAGCAACAACATTATGAGATAGGTTGGTTTGAGAGAATAACTAGCCAAAAGACACCCAATGAGTTTCTATGGCTGGGGGTGAACTCAAACCAATCTAGTCTTACACTTTAGCACTACACCACATTGATTCTTATAAATGGTTCCCAGTTTTTAATGTATCTTCTTATTTAGCAACGTTTTCATCCAATGCTCCTGGTCCCCAATTATACCATCTTCCAGGTATACTGTGACACCTAGATTTTCTGTGTCATAAGAACAGAAGAAGGAAATGTATCTATAGGAAATGTTACCTATAGAGGAACAATCGAGAGCATCCTGTCATATTGCATTACTGTCTGGTTTGGAAGCATTGCTGCTTCAGACAGGAAGGCCGTGCAGAGAGTGGGAAGGATCGCAGAAAAGATCATTAGTAGTTCACTTCCTTCTATCCAGGACACCACATATCCTCTTCAGAGGTGGTATTCAGCAGGTTCTGATCAGTTCTGGAGAACTGGGAGTGGAAAATTTGAGTAGTTTGGAGAACCGGTAAATATCACCTCTGACTGGCCCCGCCCCATCTATTCTCTGCCTCCGGAGTCCCAGCTGATCCGGAGGAAATGGGGATGTTGCAGTAATGTTCCCCTGGAGTGGGGAGGGAATGGAGATTTTACAGTATCCTTCCCCTGGAGTGGAGTGGGAATGGAGATTTTATAGTATCCTTCCCCTGCCATACCCACCAAGCCATGCCAACCGAACCGGTAGTAAAAAAATTTGAATCCCACCACTGATTCTCTTCATGATCTGTTTTTCTTGTTACCTTCTGGGAGGAGGCTTCGTGGTATCCGAAGCAGAACATCTAAATTCAGTCACAGTTTTGTGCCATATAGCATTGGGCCGGTGTGCTTGTGGTTTTAAAAAAAAATGACAATAAAGTTATCTTATTATATTGAAATAAAGATGGGATATAAATGTACTAAACAGAACTTCTGCAGTGTTGTTTTGTTCATAGCTGTTTTTTTCTTAACTAACTTATAATATTTCTCTTTTAAAGTGGCTGTTTCAAAATACGGTAATTTTATTGCTTTCAGCTGATATAAGAAACAAATCTTAACTTTATGATTAATCAACAACATTAAGCAAACTTTATTTCTAAAATACTAGAAATTCTTATGAGATTCTTACATGAAGCACAGATTATCCAAATCTAATTGAAACAGCACATTTCCTCAGATGACAAGGTAATGTAAAGGTTCTGATCTGTTTGTTCCCTGCATAAAGGACATTCTGTGTTGCTGTGTCAAAGACATGGATGAATACAATTTTGAAATGTCTGGCTTTTGTTACAAACCTATTACACTCTAATAAAAACACGAGAGCTTTTTTCCTTTCATAGAGAAATGAACATGAAAGACTATAATGAAGAAGCAAACATCACTTGAAGGAAAACATTAGGATTTTTGGAATTCTTTATTTCTGAAAATTAAAAAGAAAAACATGAACTTTCTTCTCACTAAATAAGTATGTGTGTAATTTATAGTCATAACTATTTCTCCTGTTAAATGAATCATTTCCCTCTGCCCCTTTTTTTGATGTGCCTTTCGACTCTTTGTACAAATGTTTTCTTCGCATCACTTCAGTTTTGGTTGATGACATTTAAAGTTCTTTCCATAATAACTCTGTGCTCTTTATGTGTAGTGATCATGTTAGATTGGTTTTTTAAAAAAACTGACCATTTTTCCAGAATTATATCTCTCTCTACGTTATAAATCCCATGAATCATCAAAAACATAAAGATTTAAGGAAACATATTTATATTTATTTGTATCCTGCCCATTTTCATGGATTCAGGGGTAGAAATAAATAATCCAGTTCATGTAGAGCACATTGCAGTGACCTAAGTTGAAAGTGATAAGGGCATGAAACACAATTTAGAGGCTTGCCACTGGTGCACCAGTGAAATTTGGGTGAAAGCTTGAACAAGACACAGGATATTGCTTGAACAAGACACAGGATACAAGAAGATATTCAGGAGAATCCAATATGCCAAGACACAGACATATTGATTTAAAGTAAATTCAGTCTTGTCCAGAATCTAAAGAGATTCTGGTTTCAGGAAAAATCAGTCTGTCAGGTTTTAATGTTGTCTCAAATAAAATAAATTGCATTTCCAAACAAATAGTCTTTGAAGAAATCTTTCATTTTATTAAGCACGACAACCTGTCCCCAATTGTGGCGTAGCCAACAATGACTTCCTGACCCCAAACCTTCCCTTTCCATTCCCCAATTCTCTGGATCTCATTGGCCCTCTTCCAAATCACTCTCCCCATATCTACTACTTCAGCTCCCAGGAATGTCCCCCTCCCATCTCATTTCCTAGGGGATATTATCTTCAGGGAAAATAAGTAGGTGAGAAGTCAAGCGTCCTCTTGCCAGCTGCCCCCTCTTCTCCTTCTTATGTCAGCACTAGAGTAAATGCAGGTTGAAGTGCTGACACAGTCATTATAAACTCTATCTTGCTTGGATTTATGCTGAGCTTTTTACATTATAACTTAATGGCTCCCTCACAGACTCTAGACATGTCTCAGAAACTCCATAGCATCTGTAGAATAGCTTGGGATGTCAATTGATTGTCAACATATTGATTATGCCCTATCCCAAATTGATGGATAACCTTCCCCAGTGGATTCACATAGATGTTAAACAACACAGGAAAAATGGCTGATATCTGTAGAACTCTACACTGGAACTCCCTCCCCCCACATACACTAGTTAGAACCACCCATTTCAGAAAAAAATAGAACTGTTGCAAAATGGTACCTTCAATATTAAATCTTTTCAAGTGCTTCAGAAGGATCACATCAAGAGGTCTCATAGAAGCGGGAGGTTCTATTTTTCCATCAGAAGTTATGAACTAGAGCAATTAATGCTGTTTCTGTCCTGAACCTAGGACCAAATTTCAACTAGAAGGTATCATTTCTTCTTCTTCTAGGATGCTCTAAAATTGGAATCCTAATCTCCTTCTTTAATAGGAGAAGGTATTATTGAACGTATTGAATTCCATTTCAATAACTGTTTAAAAATTTCAATATTCTGATCAAGAAAGAGAAGATTAGAGATTAGCAGTGGTGGGATTCAGCCAGTTTGAACCACTTTGGGAGAACCGGTTGTTAACTTTCTGAGCAGTTTGGCAAACTGGTTGTTGGAAGAAATTATTAGGGCAGAGAACTGGTTGTTAAATTACTTGAATCCCACCACTGGAGATTAGTTTCTTGCATTCTTGCAGTGTAACCATATACAGTTTTGCGTAAGAGTTTTGTGAAAACACAGGGCTGACTATTCATATTCAATTACCTTAATTTTTGTTAATCTTATTAACGTTAATTTTCATGTTTATTTTTTATTGAAAACTTCTCAGAATCAATTTGGATAGTGAGACTGAGGGCATATAAATTTAATTAATAAATAACTCTTGTTGTTATTATTATTATTATTATTATTATTATTATTATTATTATTATTATTATCAAGCATTTTTAAATACCTTGTGGGGAGAAAAAGTGACCTTCGTGCTTCTTTCTTTAAAAATCCATGTAGCACTGTGAATAAAGCATGTGAAGAGAAGGGAAAAAGCATGAAAATATCGTTCTAAATTCCTGTCGTCCTACTGGATTCCTTTCCTTTCTGTAAGCAACTAAAGATATAAATGATGGACAGTTCAGTGACAGAAAAAAAAAATCAACCACAACAATACACGAGCACACAATAGATACAAACTTAAAGTAAACCGCATCAAACTCGATTGCAGAAAATATGACTTCAGCAACAGAGTGATCAATGCCTGGCATGCACTACCTGACTCTGTGGTTTCATCCCAACCCCCCCCCCAAATTTTAACTTAAGACTGTCTACTTTTCACCTCATCCCATTCCTAAGAGTCTGTAAGGGGCGTGCATAAGAGCACCAGCGTGCCTACCGTCCCTGTCCTAATGTTTCTTCTATTTGTATCTATTTTATGTATCCAATCCATGCTTATACTTATTACCTAATACGTTCTTGACAAATAAATAAAATAAAATAAAATAATAAAATTAAATTAAATTAAATTAAATTAAATTAAATAAAATTAAATTAAATTAAAAAAAATTAAAAATAAAAATAAAAATAAATAAATAATAAAATGCCCTGGTAATCAGTATGATAACACAGTATGTGTGACAGGACTGCTTCTAGTCCAAGTGATACCAATCATAAACTTAAACCTATATCTTATCTATTTTGCATTTTGCCTTTCATCTATCGTTTATCAATAATAATCTTTGTTTAAAAATCTGATATATTTTGTACTATAAAATCTGAACGCACATTTATGCCAGGTGTCAGCAAAGAGGGATGAGTGAACTCTGGCCCAGTGGGGACATTTTAAATGAATTTCCCTGTCTTGTTGCCCTGTGCAAACATGAAGCAGCCAAGATGGGACAGAAACATGCCTAGAGATATTTAATTTGGAACCACTGAAAAATAAACCTGTATTTCGGTCTCTCCAAATTTTCCCTACTGAACAAAAGCATGGGACAGCATAGTTCCATGTCTTTCCTGAGTATGGTCCTCTGACAATATACTGTACATTCATTGATAAGGCAAAGTTCTTCTACACAAGGCACAATCTTTTAGTCAAGTAAACTTGGGGACCTGCTCTTTGAACAGTTGAGAATAGTAGGATGAGAATCAATCTCGGGAGGGTAGGCTAGATAACCTGGCCAAGTGAACCAAATATCTTTGTTATTGATCTAAAGGATGTAAAGCAGCAAGAGATTCTTATACTGAATTCTATTTCTTCTGCGTCAGGCGGGTAATTGTTAGAAATTCCTGTTACACATCAGTGCAAAAAACAAGACAACAAAAACAAAAACAGACTGCACCATCTCATAAAGCAACTTTAATAAAAAGATAAGGAAAGTAAAATAAATATGGCATAACTTGCTGGGAAGTGCAATGCTGATGATGTTTTATTTTTATACATTTATCAAATCTTGAAGGCTTGATTAGAAAAAAAACATATCTTTGCAACAGGCATATGTAAAGTCACATTATAAGTTGACATATATTTCATTTCATGTTGTTTGTTTGCTTACTTAGAGGCTTCATAAGATTGCTCTGAGTGGTTTACATATTCTAGGTATACAGGATGAATGATACAGGACATAATACTAGAAATGAATACAAGTCTGTATTCATGAATCTCCAGATTACAGGAAGGAGCAGCAGCAATAACCCCAAGACATGTTGAAAAATTCAGGGTTTTTTTATGGCTTTTTGAAAACCCAGCAGTTCAGGTCTGTCTTTCATCCTTTTCCCAGTCTATGTTGTTTCAGCTGTTTCATGTGGATTTGTCCCATGGTACCTTTACTCTTTGTACTTTACCTACAAGAATAATCAAAGCTTAGCAAAATGCATACTTGATCTTTTTCATTGCATTTCTGAACATACAATAGGTAAACCCCGAAAGAGATGATACACTTACAATGGATTTGGCAGCTTTCCGCAAGGAAACTCAGTGGAGAAGCCAGGAAGTTGGAAATAGCTCCTGCTCCTGCTGCAAAAAACCCCACCAGTGATGATTCTGTTTAGGTAAGGAAATGATATTAAAGTGGGTCATGGGTTGTTTAGTAATGAATAAACCTTATGCAGATTGAAGTACAGCACATCTGCAGGGGCAGATGTTGCTGTCCCTGATTTATAAAAATTCTGATCCTAAAAAAAAACCAAAACATTCTTCTAGCAGTCCAGCTCTAGAAAGCATCCTATAAACTGAAGCCTTGCTAATATTAACTTGCCAACTTGTGAATCAATATAAGATATCAATTCCCTCCGCTTGGTTTTTTATAAGGAAAAATTAGTGTACATAGAAAAGTGAACATAAAAATAACATTAACATACTCTGGAATTTTGTGCAATATATATATTTATAAGTCTAAAAAAACTCCAGCTCTTGAGTTGTTGGTAAAGTTAAGAACAGCAAATTTATAATGGAAAATATTCCACACAACTCTTAAAATGTACAAGCTTGATATTTTAAAAGAGATATAGAGGATTAGTGTTTTCTCTGAAATGACTTTCTGCTTAAGTGTAGTCTTTTTGACAGTCCTGCAAATTATTCTGCCTTTTAAAAGGTCTTTTTTTCATAGATAAAAAAAGTTTCCCAGATTTTTCAACAGAAAGATATTGTTCCCATAAAAATAAAACTTAAAGTAAATGTATGCTTAGGATTCACCAACAAAGAATATCATTGCTAGACAATGTTAGCAAGCCCTACATATCTTTACATGTTTGCAAAGTGGAAGATAAAAATTATCAAGACTGCTTGTCTCCCTGAATCCTGAGACTAATGATATTACTTCAGTTTTAATTTAATTCTCTTTTAAAAATTGAATGGATACTTCTGAGTCTTGTACACTTCTATTTGGCAATGGTCTACCGCCTATTGGCTCTCACTTCCTCAGTGAGTTTCTGTCTGCAAATGTAGCTGTTAATTTATAAATATACTTACAGATGGTAACAGGATAATCTTTCCATCTTTTTTAACCTTATTTGCCTCTATGAGTTCTCCTCCAAGATTATTCTTTATCATCCCAACTATAAACTTTTTTGTGATTTCTCTGAACCTCTAAAAGCATTTCTAATATCCCCTTCTTTGTTGTTTTTTCTATTTGTTGATTTTCTTATTTGAAATATTTTTCCTTGTACTTTCCTGCTTGACAACTGAGTTCAGCTGTTGCACATCCTTGTTGCCCAATTTTTTCCCCTGGTATTATACAAGCTTGTTCTAAAATCAACATGTCTCTATTAAACTGTAATAATTTTTTTTCTTCTGTTTTCTGTTTGTTTCTTTATGTCTTCTCTTCTTTTAACTTTTCAAGTTCACATGTCTAAAAATTAAAGGTGCAGATTTTTTTCTTATATTTATCTGAATATTTTTTTTCCCAGATCAAGTCTTTAGTCATGCTTTAATTACTGCCAATCTCTTAAAAGTTCATTTATAACATATACAATTTTTCAATAAATGTTAGTTCATATGATTGGACATTAACCAGCATTTTATTTATGACCTGATACATATTTTGTTCTATAGATAGATACTCTGGATGTTTAAAATCTATATCAGCTAACCTATCACCTACTAACTGCAATTATTACAATGGGGTGTGATCATTTCAATTAATTTGAAATATGGAAGAGCATTTTTAAAAAAAATAAATATTCTTCTTTCTTTTGATCAACTGTAGTAAAATAGATGCAGCAGAAGCTCCATGTGTCAGAAAGCTTAGATCCAGCCATCAAAATTGCAGAATATAAACATTTTGATTCAGGGAAAAATTATAAAGATTTATGTCTAACTACATTTCCATCCAACACCAATAAAATTATAATGATTATATAATGTATGTATATAAATACTTTCAGACTTACCTGAGTACATTTAGGCTACACAAGTCATATTCTGTGTTACATAAAACATATAAAAGTCAGCTTTTTCCTTGAAAATCAAACTAACCAATTTTTTTCCAGCAATAATGTTCCTATTAACGTACAACGTATTTTAACCATTCCTGGTCATTAGCCTGGTAGAATTCCTGGAAACTACCTCCATTCCTGATGAACATCTGTTAGAAAGGGCTTGTGATGACTGATTAATTTAGTCGCTTCATAATAGTGAAAGGGGTTTGAATGTCACATAAGGGGCATTTTCTTCTCATATCATATAACACTATGGAAGATTCATAATGTTCACAAAACAGACTATTTGTATCTTTAAAATGGTTCCAAGAAGAGGTTTTTTTATTAATGTTTGGTGAAACATCCATATGTGATGTATGCAGGCTTAAACATGTTTTTTGCTGATAGATGATTGTGACATGCTGTGTTTAATTTATAGTGTTATTTATGCATTATATAAAATGAAGACTTCTGTTTTTTAATATATTCTTTTATTTTATTCTGGCTAAAAGCAACAACTTTCCAAGGCAAATTACAACTATTCATATATCTAAAGAACATAATGAAGCAACCTTGAGGATGGTTCCAAGTAACACCCCAAACGAAAGAAAAAGAGGCGTGAGTTTCCTCAAAGTTACATTTTATTAGAGGTGTCATATTGGCACATCTGGGGAAACCTGAATCTGCTTCCAGGGTTTCCCCCCAAAGGAAAGTTCAAGTCCTTGCCCAACACCCACAAGTCCATTACATGGTCCAATTATAGCTCAGTTCCAACTGGACAGGCCTCCCAGTTCCAGCCTCCCAGGTGCAGGGAAAAATGGCATTGACTTTCTGAGAAAGGAATGTTATTATGACTAAGTATTATCCAGGCTCCATAATCCCCCCTCCCAGTTCCCCACATTAGGAAATGTAGCAGGCCTGAAGGCACAGTGACAGTAATGGCTTTCAGGCCTGACATAAACTATATAATCATCTTAATTAGTGGGATACAAAGTATTTTGTAGATAAAAGTTTCTAGTTTCCTTAGAATAAAATGATCACACAAATATTGGCTGCACATGTGTCTTATTAGCCAAAATATATACCAAAAAGGACTGGTACTTCCCTTCTTTAATATGTGACACAGATACAACTAATGCTGGTAAACTAGCCCATGTGTTCTTTGTAGTACTAAAAAGCATTATACGAAATTATCAAAATAGCAGAAATAAATACCGATAGGTGTCGATACCATGTAGTGGACTGCCATTGGCCCAAAAGTTAACCAAACTATTCATTCAACACATTTATCGCTTACATGGAGTACTTCGTAGAATTATTTCAGATAGGGGGGTGCAATTTATAGCAAGATTCTGGCGAAATTTTCTGCAATCGATAGGATCGACACAGGGACTTAGTTCAGTGTTCCACCCTATGGTGGAACGCCACCTAAGAAGTTATGTCTCATATCAACAGACTGACTGGTCATCCTTACTACTATTCGCTGAAGTCGAATAGTACACCGCAGTACTGGATGCACACCGTTCCGGGTGGTTACGGGACAGGAATTTGTTCTATCCTGGAACTGGAAGCCTTAAATTCTGAAACAGCTCCGAGCGAATGGGCGGAAAAGATACAAGCCCTGTGGCCACAGATTAAGGAGGCGCTGAACAAAGCAGCAGCCAAATACAAAACCCAGGCCGATAGGAAACGGGTCACAATGAAACCATTTAAAGTAGGAGACATGGTATATCTCTCCACTAAATATATTAAGCTGCGAGTACCAAACCGAAAGCTAGGACTGAAATATATAGGCCCCTTTTCCATCAGTAAGGTAATTAATCCAGTTACAGTTGTCCTAAAACTTCCACCGCTATTGGGAAAAATCCACCCGGTATTCCACAGTAGCCTTCTAAAACCCGCAGCTGCCATCAGACCCACACCATCCCCCCAGTCCTGTAGACGATGGCCAGTACGAGGTAGCCAACATACTAGATTCCTGAGTCCATAGGGGAAAGCTTCAGTATTTAGTACGGTGGAAGGGCTATCCCTTGGAGGAGGCCACTTGGTTACTAGAGAAGGATGTCACAGCCAATCGGCTGGTACGGCGGTTCCATAAGAGGTATCCACTAAAACCACCGGCAAAAAATAACATGTCTACTTTATGTCTTGCAGAGAAGCCCCTGGTGAAAGGAAGCTGCCTGTCGAGCCAGCGTGCTCGAAGCTGGCGTGCTCGACACTGATGGGACAGGAAGGAGGAACGGTGCTGGATATGAAGCACAAAGACCCCCTGGGAGACGCAACAATACACAACACTGGTAGTGGTGGCACTGGGTGCAGGCGGGACGGATCTGGGTGGTGGGGCGTCGGGAATAGGTCCACGCTGAGGAACGCTGTCAGTCCACAGAGCTTCATGCCTAAGACAGAGTCAACCCAATGGGAAACGAGGGGGCGCTTCCAGAAGACGCCTCTACAGCTGACGGGTGGCCGCTCGATCAATAAGGGAGGGGTGGGGCAATGAGATAAAAGGTGCTACGAGGCAGATGCTCGTAGCGCCAACTTTGAAACGTTTTGTAGCTCAGTGTTAACTCGTAACTGACAAAAGCATTAAACCAGCATTGAATCTCGTCTTGATGTGTCCTGCTGCGTTCTCTTGCTGTCTGCATGCTGTGCAAGATAAGGAGCTAAGAATAGGGATGACAGTGGGCTATCGAAAATTACATATAAAGAGCATGGATTAAGAATAGAAGAAATAAAAGAAAATTTGATATATTAATTGTATTTGAAAGCAAAGGGGGGGATGAAGAAATGGATGGAATGAAGGCAGTTTAATCTTGTGGAATGGAATTGGCAAATACACCTGGAAATGAAGGTATAGCTTTTATAAAAAATATTAAATATACGTCAGAAAGGATGGATGCATATAAAAATAAAAAGTCAGAGCATGGTGGGAAAGGGGTGGAAAAGGAATAAAAGAATGTAGGAAAAGTGATTGTGCCATGGAGAGATCCCAGAATGAATGAAAATGGAGACTAGTGAGTGTTTAACACAAGACAAACTACATCAAATATGTAGTTCACGTATGTCTATTCTTATGGCAAATATAATCTAAAACCATAGATGATTTGA